ATTTCGGAATTTTCGATTATTCGCATCGAATTCCGTCCTTCCAAAGACCCGTATTTCGGAATTTTCGATTATTCGCATCGAATTCATCCTTCGAACACATCCTTCGAAAGATTTATATCTTGGAATTTTCGAATATTCGTATCGAGCTCCATCCTTCCAAAAATCCGTATTTCGGAATTTTCGATTATTCGCATCGCGTTCCGTCCTTCGAAAGATCCGTATTTCGGAATTTTCGATTATTCACATCGAATTCCGTCCTTCAAAAGATTCATATCTTGGAATTTTCGATTATTCGCATCGAGCTTCGTCCTTCCAAAGATTCGTATTTTGGAATTTTCGATTATTCGCATCGAACTCCATCCTTCCAAAGATTCATATCTTGGAATTTTCGATTATTCTCATCGAATTCCGTCCTTCGAAAGATCCATATTTTGGCATTTTCGATTATTCCTCTCTTTTTTCCGGCCGAGAGACGATGGATTCGATTATGTTTCGGCTTAATGTGAAGGAAAGAAAATCGTCGTTTCTCTGTGGCGAGTTATTATTATTATTATTCGTTCGTCGGTGGGAAGCATCGTCATAGCCGCGAAAGAAATATATATGTAGCGTTCCTTGATACTGTTAATTGCTATTTTAAAATTTCTATTGTTCATAAGTTTATTATTTAGCGAATATTCCACTCGTCTTTCTCGAAATATATATATTTCTTTCTTCTACGACTACTACGACTTCTTCGAATCTTTTCGTATACGAAAATTGTATACGATCAAAAAAAAAAAAAAAAAAATCTCCTATGAATCAATCGAATCTTGCTCGCTCGGCGTCATATTCTCATCTCCTTTCGGCGGAGATTTCACGAGCGTAACGCGCGTCGCGATTTGTAACGCGATCCAAAATTTATGGGTTATAATTTAGAAGACGGGGCCGTGGGAATCCTGAATAATGCGGCGGAAGATAAGTGTACGTGCGCGAGTTCGGTTACGCCGGCTAATTGGCCGTTCGAGAAGGAGAGCAAGCTTCCCGGCTCGGCGCGATAACGTTACAAGTCGGGAAGTAAGTTGGCGAGGAGAAGGAGAAGAGGACGGTGGCAGAGAAACCGTTGGCGGTGGCGCAGGGTGGCCGACAACGAGCCGGAGGAGAATCGTAAAGTAACTTCGAAGGAATTACGAGGGGACGAAAATTACTTTTCTCGCGGACCCCCATCGAGCCTCCAGAAGAGAAGAGGGCGAAGGAGGACTTTGAAAAATCCTTGCCTTCGAAATTACTTTCGTTCCCCACTTTTCATCCCGAGTGTCGAATCCTAACCTCTCGCCAATATTTTAATTGCGCCCGTGCAATTATTCACGATTATTCGTTTTCTCCGAAAAGAATTTTTCGGATTTATATAACGAGGCGAGGAGCGGTTGGAGAGAGGGGGTTCGTTACGAAAGGGGAACTAAACTTTTTGAAAAATAATTATAATTCTTTTTTTTTTTTTCTTCGCTTCCTTTTTCGCGAATAGCGATATTTTAAATCGCGCCTATACGCAATTAACGTTTTCTTTCCAAATGATTCGAATCGGATCTAATAAGGAAAAAATTTCGAAAATTATTTTCGTTCTCGCTTTTCGACGATCGGATGAACGGAATCACGAACTCTGGACGACGATGCTTTGATTGGGTGTACGTACGATTAATTCGTAGTCAAAGAATTTGCAGATGTAGATAGGTAAGATCACGAACGCAATTATTCGTGATTTGTTTCCAAAGAATTTGCAAGGATGGGATAAAGATAAATGGATCTTCGCTTACTCTCGTTTATTATCTCGCGTACTCTTTGTACTTTTCGCGCGCATTCTTTCCCTACTTATTCGAGCAATCCCTGTTTTATCCTATTTTCGCACCTATTTTCGCTAGTCACATTGGCGAATACGTTGGTAAAGCCGGATGAAATAAACATCCTTTTTTACCTTTGCACGCGTCTACCCCTTTTCCACGGTTTGTACACGGTTAATTAGACTGCAACGCTTGCCGCTGCTAACGGATAACTTTTTTTCTTCTTCCTTTTTTCTTTTTTCTACCTTCCAGTTTGTTAATTCTTGTTCCCCAAATATCATCTCTTAATTCCGCGCCCTCGTTATTTCCCTATACACCCATTCTCCTTAATCTTCTCCTCAATTCTATCCAATAATATCTCGATAAAAAAAAGGGGAATCCTAAACTTTCCTTCCCAATCTTCTCCTCCTAGACTAAATAAATTAGATCGTTTCTAACTCTACGAGATTCATATATATATATATATATATATATATATATATATATATATATAAAATAAGTGGCAACAAAACTACTTGGTTGGAGACCAAGAACCAAGTGATATACATCACCCGTATATTTATTTTTATATTATATATATCCCCCAGAGAGATAACAGGAAATCAAAACGAGGAGGAACAACGATTCTCGTTCGAGTTGCTCGAAACAATCGTATTTATTTGCCGGAATTCACGAACGATAAACGTTCGAATTTCGCGCAGGGGATGCGAATTTCGCATATTCGCATACGAATGGAGTGGAACCGGATAATTCAGCCGCGTTCTCCTCCTTCTTCCGTTGGAACATCATTCTTTCCCCCATCCCTTCCCCCACCGTCCCGCAATTAGAATCCTTGAACCGAGTAATTCTGCTCGCGCGGATGAGTTGCGGGCGCGCGGAGTTTCGAGGAGCCCAGGCCTCCACGAGACCTCTCCCCTCCTCTCTCCTCTCTCCGTCCCTCTCCTCCTTTTGATAACGTTACAAGTCGGAAAGTAAGTTCGCTGGTAGTAACGTGTCGAGGGGGGGGGAGGGGGAAGGGGGATGGAGGAGGGAGGAGGTCGACAACGATCCGAGATATCACGGGAATTACGATCCCCCGGAGATACGGTCGGCCTCAGAGAGATGGGGATGTAGAGACGGTTGCGAAGTGCAACTTTCGCGACATCTGCCTTCGGACTTTCCCGGCTAAATAATTTCTGCCCCTCCCCCCCCTCCCCCCGATTCCCTTCCCCCGATAAACTCCTCCAACTCCTCCAATGAGAGCAGTGATATGATCAGTCGCAGCAAAAAAACCTTTTTTAGTCCACGATTTTAGTTCGTAATAGTTGTAATATTTCCTTTTAAGTTTTACAATTTTGAAAGAAGGGTACGTATATTTTCAATAATTCCTTGCGTTGATGAAGCAACTATTTCTTTTAAGTTACGAACTAAGAGAATGATTTTGACACGTGGCAATATAAATAATTTTATAAATCCTTGAGAAGACAGAAATAAATAACAATTTATACATAGATTTATTCTTATTTATATTCATACAATGAAGCAAGAAAAAAGTAATAAAACGTATATATATGTATATATATATATATATATATATAAAGATTCATAATGTTGTATATATAAAGTGCAATAAAAATGAACGAAGAATTTTGAATCGAATTTTTAAAATCTATCCATTCGATATTAATATTGTTTATAAATATTTATGAATGCACGGATACTCGAAAAAATGTTTCGATTTTCTCGAAAAAAAAATCAAATTTTTTTCTTCTTTTTTTTCTTTTTTTCGACTTGTTTTATCCCCTTTCTCTCGCTCTCTCTCTCTCTCTTTCTCTCTCCAAGTAATTCTCTCATCGAGACACGATCCCTTTCACTCCGGAATGCAACGTAGCGGAAATAGCGATATCTCGAAATAATGATAATCAGATTCGAACGGTACATCTTTAATGGCTCCTAACGGTATTACGTTGTACCTGGAGGGGGAGGAAGTGACATCGGAAGCCGACGGCGAGCCATCGATCTTCGATTATCGTCGTCCCTGTCGAATTAAACGGCGCGCTGCGAAACAAACCTGTGTTTCTCCTTTTTCCAGCTTCCCCCTCCCCCTCCCTTCACGTCACGATAAATTAATTCCCTTGGCGCTACGTCTGTCCGACACCCTCGAAAACACCGTGGCCTGTCCCCTCCCTCCCCTCTTCCCACCGGTGGTCGGGCGACGACGGTGGAAGGGACGTCGAACGCGCTTAAAATTGATGGTTAATTCAAAACCACCGCGAGGCTGCGACTGAATTTGACCGAGGCAAATAACAGGGGAGGAAGGGAGAGAGGGAGGGAGGGGCCGGGTTGATTCGCGGCCTGCAGCTGTAAACACGAATAATGGAGAGTACCGATTGGTAAATTGTGTGCTCCGGGTCGTCGAGGCTGCACAACTCCCCTCGTCCCGCTCCCCTCCTCCCCGCCCAACATGCCTTTCGCCCATTCGTCGCGTTTTCTCTGCCCTTTGTCGTTCCTCCTCTCCGTCCCTCGTATCTTTTTTCCCGCTCTTTCCCCCCTGCCCCCCTCCCCTCTACTCGCCACTGTTTCCGAGTCCGGAACTACGACACGAACTCCCCACCACACAGTGTGTAGTGTGGAAACGCAGAGCGCTTGCCGATGGATTTCGAACGAACGAGTATCGACAAGGATTTTTTTAACCTCGGTTTTTTCGATCCGTTCGTGCCTTCTCCTTCTCCGAACGATAAACGCACCGTTAAAAAGCTATCTCTCTCTTTCTTTCTCTCTCTCTCTCTTTCCGAGAGATATTTATAAAGTATCCCGCGGCATCTTTTTCCCGTTCTCCCCGTGATATCGAGTGGCGGGATCGATCAGGGTGTATTGCATGAATTATTCATCGAATATATGTATAAGGGGAGGAGGGAAGGTGGGAGGGTATATGGGGGTATATTGTATCCAGGGGTTGCTCGAGTCGAGGATAGAAAAAAAAAAGAAAAGCCATCGAACGGGATGACTTGTCGGTAAATGGTGAATGGAAGAGCGAGTGTCCGATACGGGAGAGGATACGGGAGGGACACGATCCGTGGTCTTACTCGGTTGGTATTATCGCGAGTGCATCTATTCGTCACTTCGTAAGCTTGTTCGAGTTGTTATTTATCTGTTCGTTTATTTATTTATTTACGATTGTTCGGATGTAATTCGTTTGTGTTTCAGGTATGGGGAGAACGCCAAGAGGCTTTCGAAAGCTTTTAAAGATCGGCCAGCCAGCCCTCTGGAGACAGCGATATGGTGGACGGAGTACGTGGCACGTGGGAACGGTTTGCCATACGTGAGGAGCGAGGCGATAACCATGCCCTGGCACGAACGTTACCTCGTCGATGTGTACGCCGTTCTTCTACTCTTGTTTTTGCTCGCTCTTTACGTACAATACAGAGTGGTAAAGTACGCGTTTGCCCGCGTTCTGAGATCGGAGGACGCGGATAGTAAAAGGCGAGCGACTCTCTCTAAGAAGAGGGATTGAAATCTTTGGATAATGAATAATGTCTCGCGAGATGGGATACGATGATGGATGGTGTTTGTAAAGCGTGATACGAGAATACGAGAACGAAACTACGGAACGGAATAAAACGGAAAAACAATCGTGCATCGTGTCTGCAAATATTCTTTTCATTTTTTTTTTTTCTTTATCTTTCTCTCTCTCTCTCCTTTCTTTACCCAAAAACTAGTTTCGAAAAAAAAAAGAAAACTGAATTTCATTCGTTGGACGAACGAACGGACGAAAGCTCTCCTTTGCTCGAGGTGAATTTCGATCTCGGTATTGTTTCGATAATAAGCCAATCAACGGAGCCTTTCTCAATGCTCAACTCCCAGCTCGGTCGATAAATTAAATCATCAACTGTCTGGAGGCGGCGCGTGTTCGTAATTCCGATTACAGTGGCCGACAGAGTCGGAAGTCTGGCCAATTTTCGCGGATGCTCCTCTTTCCGCTCGCCCCTCCTTCCTCGGCCAACTCTTTACAACGGAACGAGAAAGAGACCGCGTGACTGGATGGCTAGGGGACGGAAAGGGAAGGCAGGGTTTGCGAAAAAAGGACGAGAGCAACCTTGGAGGAGAAACCGGCGAAAGAGCGAGATGGACGACGAAGACGGTGGAGGGGAGAGGGAAGAAGACGCGAAAGGAGGCGGAAGAAGGGAGAGAGGAGCAGCTTTGCGGGCATTACTCGGTATTTCCCAGGTGGCCGAGTCACCGACTGCGTCAACTGGCTTCGGTTCCCGCAACAACGGCAAAAGGGAACAACGAGGCTTTACCGCGACAAGGAGGCGACTGCATCGGTTGGTTGTAGCTGCGTTCACAGATAACACGGAATCGACGGTGTACTGCGGAGCGCTTTGGAACTACGAGGACGGGACAGAAGACGGTTGGAGAAGAAAAAGAAAACGACGACGACGACGACAACAAAGATGGATCGCGTCCAACATCGGCGGATTAAACGAGGATCGGATGTTCGCCTCTCCGTTTTTCCTTCCACCGGTTACAGCCTCTTTTCACGGATTTTCGCATGGATCGCTCAGAAGCGGCGCGAAAACACGGCGCGGGATAGAGGATAAAGGCGAAGGATTCGTCGAGATTCCCTTCTTTCGACGGGATAAAACTTGTTTCGATATTATTGCCCTCCTTCTTCTCTCCCCTTACTGCCATCACGAACGATTAATCTTTAAGAGAATACGGGGGCCAATGCTCGATCTATCGATCGATCGATCGATCGATTTCTCGAGTTTCGTCGCCGCTCGAAAAATATTGCGATGGTATGGATGATATAATATACGTGTAGCGATATTTCGAGCGAATGCTACTCTCTTCGATTCCCATTCCCATTCCACTCCCCGCGCGAAACGTTGAAGCGGCCGGCCCTGAGAGGAGAGCACCTAATGCATCACAGAACGGAGTTCCGTGGTCGGAAGGACGGATCCCGTTTCAACGGATTGTTTCGTGCTTGCGCCAGATTGCGTCAAATATTTACTTGACAAAGTTTACGCCGCAAAATGCGTCCGCGAAACATTATTCCAGGGGGGAGCGTGTATACGCAGCGCGCGGATTACTTGGGAGTGACCAACAACAGTTTGTCGTGGAAAGGGCGATGGAAGAGAAGAACGAAGGGACGAGGGGGCGGATTTTCTCGGTCGTTGCGGTTTTCCCGCGATTCTCGTTCCTTTTTTTTCCTTTCTTCTTTTTTCCTCCTTTCCCTTATTCCGTGTTCCGCAAGCTTTCACAATCGAAAAAGCGACTCGTCGCCGTGCGAAACGACGATGGACGATCGAGAATCGAAACTTCGTTTTCGCAATGTAAAAATAAAATTCCCTTGCTTGTGTTCCACGGGGATAGAGGAGCGGCGATCGTCGTTGTTTTTCAGCGGTCGAAAAATTTGAGAGCCAGTGGGGAAAACTCGCGTTTTTCGCCCGATAGCTCGACTTCGGTCGGTATGCTACGACGATATTTACCGAGAGGGAGACAGAGAGAGAGAGGAAGCCGAGAGTGCGTGGAGAAGTTGGACGCGGGAGATATTCGCTTCAAAGGGGAAGTTTCCTTGCAAACTTCTCGTCTCTCTCTCTCTCTCTCTGTGTGTGTGTGGACGGACAGGAAGCATTTTAAAAAGCGATTCGAGAGGAGGAAGAGGAAGAAGAAGAAGAAGAAGAAGAGGAGGAAAAAACGTAGTTCCGATGTACCGGTGTACTTTTTCGCTGGCGTAATGGAATGTAAAGTTCCCGATTAAATTGCGTCTTTAAGCGATCCTCACCGGTGAGATATTTTTTATAAAAATACAGGCCTGAGTAACTGAGAAATATCGTTAGCCCCGATGTCCCTCTCCTCCTCCTCCATCGTTGCTCGCCGAGTTCAAAAACCCATTACCTCGTTCGAGATACAGGGGAAAGCGGGATTGCTTCTCGCCGGGCACGCCGTGTTGTCACAGGAAATATTTTTTCAAGTTATATTCCGGCGTCGAAACACCGGCCATCGCCTGTTAAGATGATCTTCGCGGGGATGAGAGGAGGATCCCACTTCGGTTTCCACTTCCCGCCAATTAAAAATTACATTATCGTTCTCTTTTTCTTATAAACTGCGTAAAAAAGGAAAGAAAAAGGAAGAAAGAAAAATGTCCGATTTCTCTCGTAAGGAACGATGTAAACGATCGTAATGCAAAATCTTCCGAAGAAAAAAAAATATTCGAGAAATTTTAATATGCTTTACCTTGGACGCACAGATTTGTTTGTTTCCATTATATACACAGTATTATTCCCCCGGAATAAAATTCCTTTGAACGTGCCTCGCCTATGGTAGAGACGCGATACGGAACGCTTTAGTAGTAGAACATTCTCTGCCTCGGTCGAGGAGCATTGAAACGGGAGCATAACGCTCCCCGTATGAATGGAATTCGAAGAAAGGGTGGTGCGTCCCGAATGATGCGTTCGAGGGGATGAAAAGGGGGCTTACCCCGAGTTTACGCCGCGTCATTTCGCGCTCGCTTTAACTTCGCTGATTGAATCATGAACGGGAAACCGCCCCTTTCCTTCCTCCTCCTCCAGATGCAGAAGGTGGATGCTCTCTCTCTCTCTCTCTCTCTCGCGCGCGCGCGCACGGATTATATCCGTAATGGCAAGTCGAACGGAAAGGGATTCGTCTGTCTCTTCCTCCGTTCGATTCTCTGGTCGATTTGCCTTGTAAGGATTGTAAAAAGAAGAAGAAAAAAACAAGAAAGAAAAAAATATAACGAAATTATCCGTGCGCGACATTTTTAATATCGATTTCTCGATCGTCTAGATACAATGTAATAACTTAACCAAGTTTCACCGGATATATAAATATTCGAAATTTAATATTTCGTGGAATTTCACGGAAACGTTGAAAATTGTTTCTTCCTTCTGTTTGCTGCGAATACCATTTCCATACAGCCTTAAGATCTTCTTCGCCCCCTTCCTCCTCTCCACTCCGCGATATTTCGGAGCATCGATGTTCTGCAGCCGGAGGAGGAAAATCGCGACGGGCGAATGAAAAATTCGCGAGAACGCGTGCACCTTTCGACTTTGGTCGAAAACCATCATTTTGCGGGCCATTTTAAAAAAATTTCCACCACTTTTCCAACCACGTTCCAATGAGGCTTCCAACCCTTTGGAAAAAAAAAAAAAGAAGAAAAAGGAAGAAAAAACGAAAGAACCGAGCGTCCGAATGCGCTCGACGTCGATCTCACGTTCAAAACCCGGGCAAAACCGAGAAACCTAGATATTTTAGCGAGGGTCCGAGTCGCACCGCGCCGCGCACTTCAAACGCATTCTTTCATTCGTTGATTTTCGGGTCAAGCGATGTGGAATCGGGTTTGTGGAATCGCGCAAGATTTAGCAAGAATCCGGATTTAATTAAGCTAATTAAACTCGAGATACGGGGGTGCGTTCCGCGTTCCGCCGCAAATTACTCGTATCAACGAAATTAACCGGAAGCAAACGCCTCGAACAGAAGCCGGACGATGATAATAGTAACATTCGATCGAGAGATGTTTCTCCTCGTATTTTGTACATACGTAGCCAGAATTCTAATATTTACGGAACTCGTAATCTAATTTAAATGTAATTCCTTCCCGGTCTCGTTCCAGTTTAAACATTTATTTCCCGTTTGCCGAGCCGCTCGATGAACTCGAGCCACGGGAGATGTCCGGTCCATCTTCCATCCACGCGGAAAAAACTTTTCCAATTAGACCAACGTTTTCCTTTAATCTCGCTGATCGACTGCCATCTTTCCGTCCGTGGATCGATTTCTATATATCGACGCGCGCGTCGATTTTATATCCTTTTTACATCACCTTCGCTCGACGATTGTTCTTGCGAAAGTCGAGACTTTTAAACTGTTGCAACTGTCGTCAAAGCTATTATTACGAGCGAGGGGTATCAACAGGTATCCACGCAGAGAATTAGCGTCGTCCTATCGTTCGTCTTTGAATTCTCTGTGTAAAATCGTAACTCGACGCGACCGTCGTTTCCACGACGAGTCGACGGTTAAGAAAATATCCCCCTCCCCCCGCGACTTGTTCGAATCGCGCAACGACCCTCTTCGTTTATTTTTATTACCGCTCCGAGCGATTTTCTCATCGTCGAAGATCGGCCAATTACGATGCTTGCTTCGCCGATCATCCCCGCTCGAGGAGAATTAGTGGCAACAGGTGACCTTCGAGCTTGCAAGGATAAAGAGAGAGAGAGAGAGAGAGGAAAAAAGGATGACACACTCGAGGAACGAGTATTTATCTGCGGCCGATGATTAACAAGACTCCCCTCGGAGGTGTACGAGTTTCGAGCAATTTGTCAGAATAGCCGGTGTGCGGATAAGGTATGTACATGTGCATGTGTGTATACGTGTGGTGCAGAGGGGAGGGGAGGTCGCAAACGTTGCTTAAACCATTAAAGGCAACGTCTCGCGAAAATTTAGTTCGTTAACCGTGGGACCGAACGACTCTCGACCGAGGCCACACTTTCGAGGAGCCTTGCTCGAGAAGCAAGAGACCGAGTTCCAGCCACTCACGTCGATCTCATCAAGGAACGTTTGTAGAGCGAGCGAGCGAGCTACTACTGCGGCTTGGAAGGCCGGGGCCACGCGTTACTC